GGCCGCGCCTCCTCCCCCTCGGGCGCGCCAGCGTGCGCCCCCGACGTGGGCGCGCGACCCAGACGACGACGGCAACGGTGACGACGACGACGACGACGGCGACGGGAGGAGGAGAGGGGAGGAGGGGGGGGGCCAAACAAGACCAACAACTAACAACAGCTGCTGGTTATTCTCAAGTTTGTATGTTTTTGCTTTTTTCTGTATGTTTTTGTTCTGCCACCTCCCCCCAGGTCGCAAACCCTTCCCCTTGGTCACGAATCTGATTGTGCGAGGTGTCACAGACGAAATCGTGACCAACGGCAACGGGAGGAGGGAAGGGGCGGAGGGGGGGCCGGGGAGGAGCAGGGGAGGGGACAAAGACACAAAGTATCAAACCATGTTTGATGTTTCAAGAGTTTCTTTTTGGGGTGGAGGGGGGGCTGCCCCACCCCCCCGCCCCAGGTCGCAAACCCTCCCCCCGGGTGACGAATCTGATTGTGCGAGGGGTCACACGATCAAAATCGTGACCAGACGGCGCCCCCCCTCTCTCAGGCCATGCCCCACCGACGCACGAGAGAACAAGAAGCGGAAATGGCAACGATTCAGACAGAGCCCCCAAAAATACAAACATCGAACGACCCACCCACAACAAAAAGCAGAAGGAGCAGCAAACCGAGAAGTCTCAATAACGCAGGGGGGATTGGGCCCGTAACAAATTCTGAGTTGCCCTGCTTCCCTGGTGTGCTCAGTGGGCCCCCCGCTTACGCGGGGTTGGGAGGGGGGAGGAGGGGAAGAGGAGGAGGAGGAGGAGGAGGAGGAGCAGGAACCGCAACAGCAGCAGCAACAGCAGCAGCAGCAGCAGAGCAGCAGCAGCAGCAGGAGGAGCAGGAGGAGGCGGAGAAAGAAAGGAAGGGAAGGAAGGAAGGACGAAAGGAAGGAAGGAAGGAAGGGAGAAGGAGGAGGAAGGAGGAGCAGCAGGAGCAGGAAAAGGAGAAGGAGGAGGAGGAGAAACACAAGGAAAAACAGAAGGTGAAGGAGGAGGAGGAGGTGCCAGGCAGTAGGTCTGTCGGTCGGACTCGGCATTGCATCAGTCTGCGCGCCGTGTTGTTGAAGGCCCTCACCCTGAGAGCTAAGAGGGGCCGCCTCCTCCCCAGCGTGGAGGGATTGAGGGAGGAGGAGGTGCAATGATTACTAACCGCGCTTCCAGGACTACCTGCGGGCTGGCCGGCATCAGACAGTCCTTCGGTGTTGAAGGGTTCGTCCATGGGGAAATACAGCCTCTGCTTGGAGCCTGATGAGGCGGGGATGGTACGCTCAGGAGAAGAGGCGGAGGAGGAGAAGGAGGTAGGATGAGTGGGGAGGGGGAGGAGGAAAGGCAAGAGGAGGAGGAGGAGGAGGAGGAGGAGGAGGACGAGGACGAGGATGGGGATTGGAGACGGCTTTTTGCCATTTTCGGTTCTTGGGGGTCCGTGTCGTGCTCCCAGATCCGTCAAAGCATGGGTCCTGGACGACACGCCGACCATGATGGACCGTGGGAGGGCCCCAGTACCGACTCTCAGCGGATGTCAAAGGTAGATCGAGGATCCGCCGCCCCCTGTTGCCTTGTCACAGGGGTGCCCGGCGTGCTAGACCCTCTCGGTTTTGGTTTTGGTTATTGTTCCCCCCCCAGGAAAAACTCCCCCTGGGGCTTCGGCCCGTCCCGCCGGCCACCCGAAAGAGGTCTCAATCCCCCAAACAATCGCCCAAGACGGCTCAAGATGGCCTCCAAGATGGCCACGTTGGCCCAAGATGGCCTCCAAGATGGTCCAAGATGGCCTCCAAGTCCGCCCAAGATGGTCCAACATGGCCTCCAAGACGGCCCAAGAGAGTCCAAGATACCTCCAAGTTCGCCCAAGAAGCCTCCAAGACGGCCCAACACGACCCAAGAGGCCTCCAAGAGGTCCTCCAGGAGGACCCGAAGAGGCCCAGATCATTGATTTTCAATTGGTTTTTGAAGGATTCTGGCATTTGTTTCTTCTCGGCATTCCGACGGCTCAAGACGGACCAAGAGGCCCCCAAGATCGCCCCAAGATCGCCCACGAGGCCTCCAAGATGGACCCATGACGGCCCAAGAGGCCCCCAAGAGGCCTTCAAGACGGCCACGATCGCCTCCAAGACGGCTGAGATGACCCCAAGATGCTTCCAAGACGTTCAAAGATGCATCCAAGACGGCCGAAGATGGCCTCAATATTGCCCAAGACGGCCCAAGAGGCCCCCAAGAGCCTTTCAGACGGCCCAAGAGGTCTCGAAGAGGTCCTCCAGGAGGGCCCGAAAAGACTTGATTTTCCATAGGTTTTTGAATGATGCTGGCATTTGTTTCTTCTCGGCATTCCGACGACTGAAGACGGCCCAAGAGGCCCCCAAGATCGCCCCAAGATCACCCACGAGGCCTCCAAGATGGCCCCATGACGGCCCAAGAGGCCCCCAAGACGGCCCCCAGAGGCCCCCAGGTGGCCTCCAAGACGGCCAAGGTGGCCTCCAAGACGGCTGAGATGGCCCTAAGATGCCTCAAAGACGGCCCAAGATGCATCGAGGACGACCTAAGACGGCCCAAGAGGCCCCCAAGAGACGCCCAAGACAGCCCAAGAGGTCTCCAAGAGGTCCTCCAGGAGGGCTCGAAGAGACCTAAATCATTGCTTTTCCTAAGGGTTTTGAAGGATTCTGGCATTTGCTTCTTCTCGACAGCGACGGAGAGACCGTACAGAGCGTCAAAGTCCACCAACGATCCCTCCAAGACGGACAAGATGGCCTCCAAGACGGTCCCAAGACGCCTCCAAGACGGCCAACGTGGCCAAAGATGGCCTCCAAGATGCGTCCACGATGATCAAGATGGCCCCAAGAAGCCCCAATATAGCCCCAACATTTGCATCCAAGACAGTCGCAAGATGCCTCCAAGACCGCAAAGATGGCCCAATAAAACCCTAGGGTCGCCCAAGAGGCTCCTAAGAGGCCGCCTCCTCCCTTTTTCTTCTTCTTCTTCTCATTATTATTTTTCTTCCTCCCTCTCCTCTCTTCTCCTTTCTCCCTCCCTTCTTCTTCTTCTTCTTCTTCCTCCCTCTCCTCTCCTTCCTCCTCCCCCACCGTGTTCCCCGAACATTTTCCAAATCGATTCGGGGAACACATGGTCCGATAGCTTGGCAGGCCTCTGGCCACAAAGTTCGGCGACATAGGCGTTTCCAAAAAGGCAGGGGGCGGCGGTGATTCGCCGTAGGCGTCTTCGATCGAGGTTTCGGGGCGTTCCGGAGCCTTTGACAGCCTCTGGGGTCACCCTCGTCGCAACGCCCGGATCCGACCTGGAGTTCTGGTCAGAAGGCAGACGCATGCCTAGACAGAAGAGAGATACGGGGCTGATGTTTGAGGGGTGTGTTGAAGGCCAGGCGTTTGGGGACCCAGACATGCGACGTCCTTATTTTTTCAATGCGGTCTCCCGCATAAAGAGCCGTTTTTTGACGGTACGGCGGCCCGGCGAGGGCTCCCAGCATGTCTGCGGGAGGAAGGATCATCATTCGGCATTTTTACGTTTGCTATTCCATTGTTCTTGAATATTCTAGGTTGAGCTTCCCGAGTCAATCTCCTCGCCACGGCTGGCTCCACTCGAACGTCTGGTCGAATCGCGAAGGAAGGGGGGCGAGGACGACGACGAAAACAAGGGCTCTGAAGACGAGGAAGGAGTTCCCATGAAGAAGCATTGTGTTTTGCAGTTTTTGGTCTCCTCTAGGCCCTTCCTTGGCACTTTGGGAGTCAGAAAACGAGTCTGGGTGAAACATGGATCCTTGGCAACGCTCTGGGATCCATGGTTTCCCTTTCCCGTGCCGCTAATGTCAAAAAGGGAGGAGGAGCAGGAGGAGGAGCAGGAGGAGGAGGGGGAGGAGGAGAAGGAGGAGCAGGAGGAGGAGCAGGAGGAGGAGGAGGCTCTGGTTGCGTCCGCGGGCGCACGTGTAGTGTATCGAGCAGCATACTCTGGTGACACAACGACAAGCATGGTACGGTTACGAGCAACAGTTCGGCCTCCTGCCTCCTCCGTCCTTGTCCTCCTCTCCCTCTTCTCCGCTCAGTGTCGCTGCTGCCGACGCTCGCAGGCGATTTCCCGCCCCAGTCCCCGAGTCCCCCCCCCCCCGCAGCACAAAAGCGGTCGCTCGAGGGAGAGGGGCAACTCGGGCATGGACCCAGGGGGCGCTGTCCGGAGGCACCTCCTAGATCGAGGGTGCGCGCCCCCCCGGACGAGCGGATCTCCGGTGTGAGACCCGAATCGTTTGCCTCCAGCCGATGGGACAGCCCGGCGGAGTCAAGGACGTGGATCTGGCAAGGCTCCAAGTTCCGCCGCTCGCTGGAGCCTCACTCGGGAGGGGGGATCGCTTCGGCCAGCTGGGGCTACTCGCCCGGGGGCCTGCGGAGGCCAGCCGCGACTGCCTGGGGCGGCCGGCTGTGCGCAAAGGGCTTCGAAGCCTCATGGGTCGCCATGTCCCCCACGCGTCCTGCATTCCCCCCCCCCTCCCTTGCATCCCCCACGCGTCCTGCATTCCCCTTCCTTCTGTAATGACTTGTTCCGCCGTCGGGGCTGCCTGCCCCTGGGCGGCTTGAAAGCTTATGCCCCTACGCTTCCACGTAGGGGTATAAACTCTGCAGCCGCCGAGGGGCAGGCGTCCCGGACGGCGGAACAGTCTATTACATACCGTTCTTCGCCCGCCAACTTGCACAGGCTGTGGAGACGCGCTGCTGGGCGTCCATCTGCCTCGGCTTCCTGTCGGGCGCCGCGGTGATGGCACCGCCGCCCTACCCCCCACCAGCGAAGGACGAGGGGCACACACACACACACACCTCAGGGGCAACGTCGGGAGGGGGATAGCCCTAAGGGCTTGGCGACTTGTCGCCAGTCGACTTGTGGCGATCGAGCCAGACAAATTCAGGCAGGTGCAGATGCATCTCGGCGAATCTCGGTGAGTCTGGGCAAACCCGGGTCGATCCAGAGATCTCCGGGGAAATGCTGGGCAAGTCGCGGCCGCGCCAGCGCGAGCCGAGGGACGGCAGGAGTCGTGCAGCCCTCCACGGGGAAACGTGCCCATCCGAGGGGGGGGCACAGCGACGAACCCCCTTGCGCACGCCTCGCCGACAGGGGCCCCACGGGCCCAGCCCCGCCGGGGACCGTGCGGCTTCGCGATCGGGGCCCATCGCCCTCCTCTTCCTCCTCCTCCTCCTCTTCCTCCTCCTCCTCCTCCTCCTCCTCCTCCTCCTTCTCCTCCTCCTCCTCCTCCTCCTCCTCCTCCTCCTCCTCCTCCCCCTCCCCCTCCTCCTCCTCCTCCTTCTTCTCCTCCTCCTCCTCCTCCCTCCTCCTCCTCCCTCCTCCTCCTCCTCCCTCCTCCTCCCCCTCCTCCTCCCCACCCTCCCTCCTCCTCCGTGCGGCTTCGCGATCGGGGGCCCATCGCCGATCTCTCGGCGACGTGTCGCCGGTCCGAGCTCGACGTGCCCCCCCCCCCCGGGCCAGGCCCCTCTGGCGCTTCTCCTCCACACGAGCGCACCCGGCCGGCGCATCCGAGCGGCCCTCGAGACTGGTTGCCTCGGTGCGGCCGTGTGGGGAGGCGCGGCACGTGCCATGCCCAGCACCTTCCGTGCCAATACGTGGCGCGTTGGCCCAACGTGCTGGCCCACGTTTTGGCGAAGGGGGCGCGCCAGCCCTACAGTGGGGGCGTGTGCCAAGAAACCACTTGGATTCTGCCAGGGTGCCCGGGGTTTCTTGGATTTCGGTGTGCCCCCAATAAGATCTTGACGATTATCGATCGACAAATTTGGGTTTTCACTGAACAAATCGCGGATTTCAGGGTTGGGTTTCTTGTGGAGGTTTCTTCTGGCCGAGCCCCCACTGTACGTTTTCAGTCTGTGTGTCGAGCTCCGTGTTAGGACGCTGCGTGTTCCGTGTTGCGTATCGGCGCAGCCAGGCTCTCGAGGTGCGGTGGGAAGGGCACCCTTGGCAGGGGCAGCCGGCAACGGGAGCACGGGCGCGTACCGCTCCGTCGGTGGGCTCGTGCACACAGTACAGGCAATCGCAAGCATGGATCAAGGAGGCGTGGACTAGCAACGGGTCCCGTTTCCATGGGAACTCCCGGATTTCCGCCGCCGAACGAGGCGGTGCCGGCCGCATTTTGGGGAGGGCATCTCCCCCGATCCATGTTTGCGCGCCCCCGAGTAATACAGACGCCTGTGCCCTGGAGACCTCCCCGAAGTTCGTCGCCTTTCCTTGCTCGTCCCTTTGTCTCCCTTTCTCTCCGAGGCCCCGCAGCGCCCTCGCATGCCGAATGCCTGCGCCCAGGTTGCATGTGCGTAGGTGCGTCTTCTGACGGAGTGGGTTTGTGCGGGGGCCGGCTGGCGGTCCAAACGCGGCTGAAGATTCCCCGTCCAGGACGGTCTTCGACTGTTGGAACCTGGGGGGGAGCTACCACGAGCTGATGCCACATGCCGGCAAAACCAGTTCCCGTTGCAAGGGTGGCCACACCGTGCCAAGCCTACAGGCAAGAAATCCCGCAGTCTCTGACATTGGCACCCCTGCCATCCGTGCGTCTTCCCCGCACCCAGTCGATCACACAACTGGGACGTCACCCGCGCGCGGGTTGTTCCAGGCGAGTTCATAGTTGTGCACGTCCTTGGGGGGGGCTCCCAACATTTCGGGATATCCAAGCCAGAAGCGTCACTGTCAGATGTTATACCGCTAGCTTGGTGATCAAGCGTTGATCCCTTCGACCGCTAAGGCTGTGGTTTGGAGCGCAGTGCCAGAAGGACGAGGAGAGAGACATGACAGTGTCAGGAGATGGGGTGGAGTACGCTGTGCAAGGAGGATCCGAAGAAGGACAGGGATAACGATCTGATTGATCTGATCCGTGGATCGCCCCATCTCGGTACAATCGCTGGTCAGATCTATCTTGGTCGATTTGTTCTTGCCTGGAATCTGTCTGTTTGCAATCGGGTCTCCCGGGTGTACGATCAACCAGTCGATGTCGTTTGGGTATCACCGCTGTCGGTGTGCTCGACGATTGCCGCTCTCGCGATCAGTGCGATCCGCGGAGCTCGCTCGCGGAGGGGCCGTTCTCGCAGTCAGTGCGACACGGCTCCAACTATCCAGCTGCCTGCGGCAAACCTTGCCTCCGTGCCTGTGCAACAGCGCTGCAGGAATAAGACTGAGTGGAAGAAACAATGCAGATTCCGACACGTGGTAGGGTAATGACGGGTGGTGAATTCGACCTCGTCTTCGCCCGCGCTGTGGGAAGGAGGTCGAGCTCACATCCCGCGGCAGTTCAGCGAGTTGTCTGAATTGATGAGGATCGTGATCCCGACATCGTCTTCGTCCGCGCGGTAGGGAGGACAAGGAGGAGGAGGAGGAGGAGGAGCAGGAGGAGAAGAAAAGAAGGGGGAGGAGAGGGAGAACATGAGGACGAGGAGGAGAACACTTGGATGGTTGTTGCTTCCTCGGGTTCTCTTGGAGGGCCACTTGGAGCCCCCTTGGGCCGTCTTGGGAGCCTCTTGAGCTGTCTTGCGGCCGTCTTGGGAGCCTCTTTGAGCCGTCTTGGTCCATCTTGGGCCGTATTGGTATCATCTGGATTGCCCTGGAAGCCGTCTTGGAGGCCATCCTGCTCGCCTGGAGGCCGACAAGAGCGCCGGAAAGCAACTCCATAGGGGGGCGATCTCGGAGGCACGCGTCGGCCGGTGGGGGGGTACCAGAGATCGTCAGAGAACCCTCCCAGACAACAGACAAGCATTCTTGATGGGCCTGTTTTCAACCACCACTACCATACGTTGGAGGGGGAGGGGGTCCTCCTCCTCCTCCTCCTCGTCCTCTTCGTCCTCCTCCTCGTCCTCCACCTCCTTCCCCCCTCCAACTTATGGTGGTGGTGGAGGAAAACAGACCCATCAATTCTAACACGCCCACTCCGTGCAAGCAGGCACGGTGGCGGATGATGACGAGCCTCCCGCCTCACCGTCGCGCTTGAGATGGTGGTTTCGTCGGCAGCGGCTCGGCCTCTGTTTCGTAGCATGTGTGCACATCGTGCATTGTCTTCACGTCGGTGGTTGGCACGTGTGTGTGTGAGTGTGGCTCGTATCAGGCACAAGGGTTGCCCTTGGGGACGTTTGCTTGTCTGCTATGGCCTGGTGACTTTGCGGCCTCAGGAGGTTTTAGTGGCACATGGGCACATCTCATGCCGTTGCAGCGTACGACAGACCTCAGGGACGCTGGTCTCACCGCTAGGATCCGACGCCGCATTCTTGGTCTGCGCTGTCGCTTACGGTTGCCCCGCCCAAGAGGCAATGGTTTCGTGTTGTTTGTGGCAGAAGCTGCTATGCTCATTGGACTTCCTGACCTTCTGTCAGGGAGTCTCGATGGAGGCGGGTCGCTCAAAGAAAACAGGCTCATGTGGTTTCGTCCAGAGCTCATTGCATTGCTGATGTAGAAGAGAAATCGTGCCAGCTTAACGGCGAGTGACGTTGAATGATTACGACCAGATGGGAGTTTGGGCTACAGAGATCAGCAGCATTGGTTGGAGGTGATGTTGGCAGTGTCAACCGTCAGGTCTTGACACACCACATTCTGGACATGGCATTCGAGACGGAGGCTCACTGAGTGTCGCATGATGTGGTTCCCTGCGCGGGATTATTCTACCCTTCGAGCCGGCCCCGAGCGTGCTACCTCGGGGTGTCTCTCACAAGAAAGCGGCGCCATTGCCTTTCTCTTCGCCTTCCGGTATTTAGCGCTTGCTGATGCCATGTGCCCCCTGCCGATCGTGTTCCCGTCGCCATCGTCCATCGAATGTTGCGTTATTCGTTGAGGCTGATTGGCACGGCCCGGTGGACGTAATTCCCTGCGTTCAGAGGTCCCGGGGCTGCTTGCGCGTGCCAAGACCTCCAGCGTATGTTTCTTTTCTTGTAGAAAAAACAAATCTCATCCGCCTGAATCACCTCCCGATCCCTATGATCGGCATCGCCCTATCTCGATGCCGATCCCAAGGGTTTTCTTCAGTTTCTGAAAGCGCACCCCGAGTATTGTCATCGCAGTTGGCCTTGTCAATCTTAAGAGTTGGGGCAAGTTCGAGGCAGGTTAAGTCCTACATGTTGCCGCGTCTCGCTTCCCCAGGGGCCGCCATGGGGCCCCGATGACCGCGAACAATTGCTTGGGATGAGAAGCTGGCCTACGGGAGGGCGTGGGGAGCTATCGGGGGCGACGGGCGGGAAAGATCACAACGCCTGGGGTCTCCGTATTACGCGTCCTTGCCCCACCTCCGTGCGCATAACTTCCGAACCAGACCGTTGATGCCAGACCTCACAGAAATCTGTCGTCGTGAATCCGTGGCGGCGGCTCGGAAAGGGATGAAGAGAGGGAAGCGGAAGAGCGGGACGAGGAGGAAGAGGAGGAGGAGGACGAAGGTCAGGTTCTCAATAGTGTTTTCGAGTTCCACCTTCTCTCCAGTCCATCTCCTCCCTTGTCTCTCTTTGTTGTTTGAGCAGTACGTGACAGCCAAGTGGCCATACCTATCCGCCACTTCCCTCCGACCTCGCTCCTTGCTGTTACACATCCTTCCTGAGTTGTTCCTTCTCATTCCTCCTGCCCCTTCCTCGTGCCTACTTCTGCTGCTCCTGTGTCTCCTCCTCGTACGTTCCCGACGCTCCTTTTCCTCCTCCCCCCTTCCCGTTGATGCTGCTCCTCCGTTCCGACGCTCGCAGCATCCTCGTCCGTTCTCTTCCCTCCTCGTCCTCGTCTCATCCTCCTCGTTCTCGTCCTCCGTTTCTTCTTCTTTCCCTCATTCATATCTATCCTTTTTCTTTCTTCTCCTCCTCCTTTCAAGTTGGGGTCTCCAGAGGTCCCCCGAGGTCCTCTGCATGTCTTCGTGAGGAGGTCCGCGGAGGCCCAACCACTCTCAAACGTGCCCCATGCGCCTTGACCTGCGATCCTGCAACCCCGATCCTCCCTCCCTCCCTTCCTCTTCCCTCCCTCCTCCCGCGCATGGGGTCTTGCTTCCACGCTGTGGCCGCTGGAGAGAAGTAGGACCCCCAGCCCAGCATCTTGGCAGCAGAAGGACGACGGCGAGACGGGCCTTTCGCTTCGCCAGGCAGTCAGGGGCGACGAGGGGCTGCTGCGCTCGTGCGCAGAAGTGAAAGAGAGTTCCGCTCGGGCTGAGCAGACGGTCCGTGCGGAACAGAGAGGCACAGAGAGCGCGGGAAGAGTACCTTGTTAGTGAATTTAATTGGTTTTAGGGTTTTAACAAATGGTCGCAGCCACGCAGAGGGCGTGCGTAGCGACGCCCCAAATGCTCGGTCTCCAGCACTTCTACGTGGCGGCGCCCCCGCAGGCACGCAGAGGGCACGCGTGGCGACGGGGGCGTTGCCACGCAGAGCTTCTAAAGACCAAACATTTTGAAAACCAATAGTTTCCACTACTAAAGTAGCGATACCCCCCGTGAGGGCGCAGGGTAGCTATCGGCGGCGAGCCTGGGGGGGAAAAGCGGTCCGTGCGGAAGAGAGAGGCACAGAGCGCGCGGGAAGAGTGGCGATGCCCCCCGTGAGGGCGCAGGGTAGCTATCGGCGGCGAGCCTGGGGGGGAAAGGTTGTCAGTGCGGAACAGCGAGGCACAGAGCGCGCGGGAAAAGTGGCGATACCCCCCGAGAGGGCGCAGAGTAGCCATCGGCGGCGTGCCTGGAGGGGAAGAGGGAAGGGGCGGGCCTTATCAGAAGGCTCGGGAGGCATCCGGCCTTCCCACAATCCCACAAGCTGTTTGAGCCGTCCCCGAAGACGCACAAAGCCTCCCGGAGGGCGCGAGGGCTTCCGAGAAGCCCCGCCGCCCGCCGCCTTCCGCGGAGGCCCTCTCCTCCGCGCTTCCCTCCCGCCGCTCAGGGCCGAAGCGAGGCCGCCCGCCGATGGGGAGCGCGAGACGGGCCGCCTCCCTCTCCCGCCCCCCCCGCCCCCCCCGTCCCCCTTGCGGCTCCCGCCGCCCGCAGCGCCGCGCTCCTTCCACGCCGGTCGGCGCCCTCCCCATCCCGGGCCGCCGCCCTCTCCGCGGGGCTCGCAGAGGTGTGCGCCACCGCTGGCTCCCTCGTCCCCTCCCGCTCCCGGGGGAGAGGGGGAGGGAGACGAGGGTGGCGGAGGCAGGGGGGCATGGAGGTGGTGGTGGTGTGCATTGCCGGGGCCCGCACGTCCCCGGTCTCGAATGCGCCGGGCGCCTGCGCAACACTCCCACCGCGGGGGCAGCACTGCGGGAGGGGCTCGGGTCGTGGAGCCCTGGGCCCGTGGAGCCCGCCCGTGGCCGAGGGTGGCCATGGCCAGAGGAGCCCCCGCGCCCCCTGCCCCGCGCGCGCCTCGTGGCAGCAGGGGGACCGTGCTCCGGGGAGGCCCATGCCAAGAAGCACCCTGCGCGTGCCTCCGGGGTGCCCCCCCCTGGGCTCCTCGTGGGGGGCTTCTCTCTCGTGGGGGGCTTTTCTCTCGTGGGAGGCTTTCTTCTCGTGGGAGGCCTCCTGCGCTCGAGCGCCCGAGTGCTGTGCCCCAGCCGTCGGGAGCTTCGGGAGGGCCGAGTACCGAAGGCGGTGCCGAGGAGCCCCGGGAGGCGCGGGGTGACCAGCCCGGAGAGCGCCAGGCGTCGCGGCTGTGGAGGGCCAGGGCGAATGCCGACACGGTGCTCTGGCGATTCTGGTCGGGGCCGTCCCCTCTCGTTGGCTCCGCGTTGAGCCGCCGAGCCGGGACGAAGACAGAGCGAGGGAGCACGAAGACAAGACGAGCACGGGCAAGACTGCTTAGCAATGATGAAGATGCTGGAGATGATGAAGATGCTGGTGATGGTGATGATGATGGTGATGATAAAGATGATGATGACGGTGACGGTGGTAATGCTGGTGCTCATGATGATAATCGCGGTGGTGATGGTGATGATGTTGATGATGACTATGATGATGATGATGATGTTGATGATGATGATGATGATGATGATGATGATGATGATCATCATGATGATGATGATGATGATGTTGGTGATGCTGATTATGGTGATGATGATGACGAAGATGAAGGTGATGACGGCGGTGGTGATGGTGACGGTGATGATGATGGTAATGATGATGATGATGATGACGATGATGATGATGATGACGATGCTGATGATGATGATTATGAGGATGATGATGGGGATGATGCTGAGGATGAGAATGAGGATGGTGATTATGCTGATGATTATGATCATGCTGATGATGGTGATGATGCTGCTGATGATGATGATGATGATGATGATGATGTTGATGATGATGATGATGATGATGATGATGATGATGATGATGATGATGATGATGTGAGTGTTGATGATGTGCGCTCGAGCCCTGTGGAGGTCCAGGTGGAGGTGGGGCCTCCTGGGGGCGCGCCGCCGCGGCTCGAGCGCTCGCGCGGGCGCGGGCGCCGCTCGCCCCTAGGACAAGGCGCGGCCCGTCGCCAGCGCCGTCGTCGTCGGCGGCGTCGTCGTCGTCTGCGGCGGCGGCGTCGCCGTCGGCGTCGGCGACCTCCATGCCGTCCTCCTCCATGTCCTCCATTTCCTTCTGCTCCTCCTGCTCCTCCTGCTCCTCCTGCTCCTCCTGCTCCTCCTGCTCCTCCTCCTCCTCCTCCTCCTCCTGCTCCTCCTCCTGCTCCTCCTCCTGCTCCTCCTCCCGCTCCTGCGCTTCCTCCCACTCCCCGCTTCCCTCCTCAACCATGGTCGTCTTGTTGTCAGGGGTCCTCGTCGCGCCACCAGTCCTGCCGTCGGGGCGTTTTGCCAGAGGCTACACCACGCTTCACGGCCCCAGAACTTGACAACCCCAGTAGGCTCACACACCCAGATGATCAGCATCCCTCTCCAGCCCCCCCCGCGCCTGCGCCTGCCTCCTCCCTCCTCCCTCCCTCCTCTCTGGGACGGTTGCGACGGCGGTGCACGTGGGCCACCAGCCTTGGGCCAGACCGCGCCCACCGAGCACGATCGCCAAGCCGCTGGCCGACTGGATCCCTCTCCCACTCTGTCTTCCCTTCCCCTCTCCTCTGCTCCCCCCACTCCCTCCTCCTCGTCCTCCTCCTCGTCCTCCTCCGTGTCCTCCAAAAACTGCGACGGGAACTACATGGGGGACTCGAATGCGGCTACAGTTTTCCAGGAGGCCTTCGTACCACCAATCCGTGCCTGGCAAGTTCCACATCATGCTGCACATCCGTCCTTGCTTGAAGGTACGTGTGCTATAACGGGAGAACGGTGCGATCTCTCGTTACGCGTGTTTGCAGACGACCTCAACAAGACACACGTCGTCGCAGATGTTGCCGCAGCGCAGGAGATTATCGCACGCCCTGACAGAGTGTTGAACCAGCAGATCAATGCTCATGGCATTCACCAGGCTGATGGCAAAAACCAAGTGCTCCCCCACTTCGTGGGACATGGTGCTCATCGGTTTTCCAGGGCTGTATTTCAGGGCCACGGATCGGATGCTCTACCTGGGGTCGTTCTTCCGATTATCCCTTTCTTGGGGACGTGGTTCACTCCTCCTGGATCCTGGGCTCCTGAAGTTGCTTCCAGATGTTCTGCAGTGTCCCGAGGCTGGGCTCACATGCGTCGTTTCTGGTTCCAAAGCACCTCCTGGCGTGCTACACAAATGGCTTTTCGCAGTTATGTTATTGGTGCTGCTGTTTCAGGGCTTACTGCGCTTGTTCTTTCTGAACCTGAAGAAGCCACGCTAGATTCGATATGTCTCCGGTATCCTCGTGTGCTCCTATGTGGTGTTGCTGTGTCTCATACAGTGACTGATGCGGCTGGGAAGGAGTCTACTGTCATACGTACACCTCCTGCACACGCAATTCGGCGGCGTGCTGGCCTTGTCCCTATAGGCCTAGAAGTTCGTGTCCAGAGGCTCAGAGAGTGGCAACAAGTGGCGCGATCACCCGAGTGGAATATGCAGCAGCTGACCGCTGTTTTCGGCTCCTTGGACCTCGAGAAGCCCCCTGAGTCGCCCTTTCCTTGGTACCCCAATGTTGCCCCGAGGTCGATGGATACATCACGTACCAATCCGTGGGCTCGGCAGTTTTTCCTGGATGTCGACTATATGAGATGCACGGAGGAGGGGGCGACCGTGGTGGATGAGACGGGTGGGGATTATCTCAACATATTCCGTGGGAGTGCTCCTGCTTTTGGGGCCTTTCAGAGATTTGAAGTTCAACAATTTCGGGCTGAGTGGCTTCTGCGCAAGGACCCCGACAGCTTGGAACCTCCTGACCTTGTGGAACTCGCGACTGGGGACCACGTGTGTGAGCTTCTTACAGCTGACGGGCTTGTGTGCGAGCGTCGGTTTGTTTTTGGGCGGGTTCTACTAGCGCATCAGACGCAGGCCTCTGGAGGCCAACATGGATTGCAGTCATTGATATCTAAGGTGGTGGTAACTAATCACTGTGTGGCTTGTTCGTCTACGTTTCGGTCTAGGGATACAGCAGTACGACACCTTGTGAACGCGTGCAGATATGGTCGTTGCAGATTTGATGCGTCAATTTATGATCCACCGATGCATGACCCAGAAGTCAGAGTGTGCCCCGTATGTCTTGAGCCATTTTCATCTCTCGAGCTTTTTCTACAGCGGCATCTTGTTACCCATCTCCCATTTCCTCTTCCTGAATTTGTTTGGCATGTTCACGGCGGTGCCTGCAGTGACTTCGTCTGCGCCGAGCCTCCCCCGAGCAAGGCCGGAGGCGCCCAGCTGCCGGCGGCGGCAACCTGCCCAAGCGCGCCCTCACCAAGAAGCCGTCCAACAAGATGGTCGAGAAGGAAGAGATGGAGTCATCTGAGTCAATGGACATGGCAACCATTCAGAAGGCCGTGCCGTTCCTCATGAAACTGCTTTTCAACGTTACCATGAGAACCCGCCAACAAGAAGCCATCACCCTCGTCACACTGCTGATGCACGACAGCGCCGCGCCCGTACAGAAGTCGAAGGCCAGAGTTCGAGCGTGGGTGGAGAATGCACAAGAGCTTCGTGCGCGCGGCAAGGAGTCGGAGGTCGAGAAGACAGGAACGATTCCCCTGGCAGCGCTGGTATGCCTTTCGGAAGGAGTTCGCGGGGCAGGGGTAAGCGTCGGCGTCAGGAACCAGCAGCGCTTCACGGAGTGGCACACCGAGGTCAAGGAGCTCCACCTGGAAGCTGTCATGGAGAAGTTCCCCTTCATCAAGATCCAGAGTGCGCACAAGGAGGGACAGGTCAAAATTTTGCTCACGAGCGAACCTTCACTCAACGCGTTGATATGTTGCTTGGAGCAGCTGGGGGCCACCAAGAAGGTCGGGGTAGCGCCGATGAACCATCTCGAGCGCATCCTTCAGACATTCCTGACGGACGATTTATAAATGTTCATGGTGAGCGATTCGAATCACGCGATGATCACTTCAGAGATGGTGGTTCTGCCTCTTTACCTTTCAATGGTGCGACGTCTCGTGGCGATGAGATGCACCAGTCTGCTCTACCGAATCTGTTTGGGAATGATCAGTATTGCGACACACATATGCGATGTTCTCCTTCTTCTCCTATCGGTGCCGCTTCGGCGGGAGCCTGGACCCCTCTATTGGTGAATGGCTGTGCAGAGCAACTCGATCCACGGGATGATCTGCAGAGGGGTTGTGGTTCTACGTTACCTTTCAATGCAGGTGGTGCGGCGTCAATTGACGATGGGATGCGATTGTCTGCTCTACCGATGTCTGTGGGTGATCGTATTGCGACCACTGCTATGCGATGTGCTGCTTCTCATACTTCCTCTGAGGCTCCGTTTGCTGCCGCCGAGGCTGTTGCCCCTCCGCCCCCTCCTCCGATCCTCCCCTCCGCCTTGAGGCCGCCGAGACGTGCCCGCACTCAGGCTGATACGGTCCGTGTTTTTCGGGATTCGGGTTTCGGCGATAGCCTTACTGGGTCCGCGGCCCGTCTCTTGGGGTTTAAAAACTTAGGTTCTTTCGTGTGGAAGCTCGGGGGCTTAAAGGCTCTGTGAGTTGCGAGCGGGCTGGAGGCTTGAAACTCGCGGCAGATATGTCGGTCCTAGGGCGCTGTTGAGGTGTTCGGATGTAACCCTTGCCCCCAGAGGTGTCGGTCGGTCCGTGTCCTCCTCCTGCTCCTCCTCCTCCTCCTCCTCCTCCTCCTCCTCCTTCTCCTCCTCCTCCTCCTCCTCCTTCTCCTCCTCCTCCTCCTCCTCCCCCTCCCCCCCGACAGCCGCAGGGGCCCCGCCGCCGCTCCCAGGTGCGCGCCAGGTGCCGGCCCCCGCCTGCCGCGGGCGAGCGCGCGGCGCCCAGACCGCGCCGAGCCCATCAGCCCGACTGGCCTCCCTGGCGTGCGGCCGCCGTCGCCGCCCGTCCCCATCAGTCGTTCTTCCCCCCCCTCTCTCTTCCGACCGCTGCCTCTCCCCTCCTCCCTCGCTCCTCCTCTCCTGCTGCCTCCCCCCCCCCCCTTTCTTTCCGCTCCGCTTCCCTGCCCTCCATCTCCCCGCCCCCCTTCCATCCCCTGGCCCAGCTGCCGGCGCCCTCCCGTTGCCCCTCCCTCCTTCCCCTTTTATTTTCCCCGTGTGCCCCTCCCACCCCATCTCGTATCCCTGTCCCCTCCTTCTCCCAACACCTCCTAGGCACACTTTCTCGTGCCACCCGCCGCTGCGCTGGCCCGTAGGCCCTCCGGGGTGGTTGTCGTTCGCTGCGGGGTGTGCCCCGAGGGCCCTTCCCTCCTCCGCAACACGCAGTCCAAGTACGCAGCCCCGCTTGTCCTCTAGATGCCTCATCTTTCCCCCGTGCCTCCTCTCTCCTCCTCCCTCCCCTCTCTCATTCCTCTATCCTCCCCCATTCCCCCCCCCATATCCACCTACGACTCCCCCCCCTCGTTCCCCCTCCCGCGCTGCAGCCCATCTCCCCCCACCCTGACCCCCCCCCCGCCCTCCGGCCTCCACTCGCTCACCCTCCGTATCCATGCCACCCCCTTCACCGCCCTTGCCGCTCCCGGTCGCCGATGCGTGCTCCTCTCTCCCCCGCACCCTGTCCAATCGCCGCGATGTACTCTCCGGCCCACTGTGAGGGTCGCCGCCTGTCGAGGGCCAGGGCGCCCGGCCCACAACTGGCCCACGACGTCCGCAGAGGCTTCCAGCGCGCTCCGCGCGACACGGAGAGGGATCCAGCGCAGATCCAAGAAATCTGGGCGGACCGCCGAAAGGTTATGCTTATGCCGTTTCCCTCCCTAATCTAATCAAGGGCCACGGCCCTTTCCCCCAGAGGTCAACCCCCAGAGGTCAACATCCCTAGGTCTCGACCTACTCCCCGGGACCGCTTTCTCATCCTGAGCGTTTTTTGGGACGGTCCCAAGGTCTGGTATGAGCTCCCAGAGGCCGAAATTAGCGAACAACCTCCCGTCGCAATTCTTGCTACGACTCGGAGGGGAGGAGGAGAAGGAGGAGGAGGAGGAGGAGGAGGAGGAGGAGGAGGAGGAGGAGGAGGAGGAGGAGGAGGAGG